AGGGCTGCGATTTAAGCAATCTCCCGATTTTGCGACTTTCCTGCTGCCCTCCTCCTGGCTGCACGTGCTGCTGCTGCAACGCAGCGGGCGCAGAGGAGTGGGCAGCTCCTCCGGGCTTTCACCGCTAAACCAGTTTGCTGCTAAACTGGTATCAAATACATTGGATTTGTAAACGGCGTGAATTAACGTGCGCCGGTTTGCTCGTGGCACAGGGGAAATTAGAAACAGGGACATCGGCAAATTCCAGGGGCCTGCTAAAAATTAGTAAATGCTTAAATGCTCTCCTTACTGGGCCACTAATAAAGAAAGTGAGGGAATGTAAAAGAAGAAATCCCTTTTAAGACAGCCTGCTATAGCAAACCGTTCGCACAGGGAGCAGAACTCCGCTCCCAGCCACACAGCTGTAAACCTGGCCTCATTCCATTAAAACCGGAGCACTTGATTCCCGTTTCCAGCAGCATCTGACCGATCTCTGCCTTATTTTTGTCTGGGGAGAAAAGTCGCACATCTGCTGTGCGAGGGAGAGCGCGGGCAGGGAGAGCAGGCAGGGAGAGAGGGCAGGGAATGCGGGCAGGGAGCGCGGGCTCTGCACCGCTCCGGGGTCGCTCCGGCACGCTCGGGCAGCGCGCGGAGGTGCGCGGTGGGCACAGCCGCTTCCACCAGCGCGCTTGACAAGTTTCCGGTCCATACCTCCCACTGCTACTTTATTTACTGCAGCTGGCCAGCCTTTTATAGCCTGTTTCATGTATTAAAATTCAAATGTGGAAAACATTACCAGTATCCTCCTTGATTTTTTTTTTTTTTTTTAAAATTTTTTCCCCCTTCAACTTCCTTTTCAGCGTGGAATGTATCAAATGGTCAAAGGCTAACTTCAGACTGACTCTACTCAAAAACTATTTCCTTTGTTCTTATGTTTTTACTTCAAAATTCATACCAGTTTTCCAAAAGAAATTATCGGGCCCGACTCTTTCACCCAAGTTACGGTTTCAGACAGTGAGTAATGCTGCTTGGGAACGCGGCAGACTCCGGGTTTTCAGAGAAATGTCCCCGTCTCATTTGCAGCAGCAGCACTGCTCTCAAAGCAGCCGAATTCTCCTGCTCCGTCACCCTGCTCTGACCATATTCTTATTTAGCGAAGTCCAAACAAAACCGGTCGGACCCCATCACTCGGCGTTTCTCCTGAAAAAGCAAGTGCCTACATATTCCTAAAAATATGAAGACATTTTTCAGATGCACGATACCAGCACTTCGATTTCTCATTGTTGCTGCTTTTTTTTGTTTCAGTCTAACTTCACCTACATCTGGTATTTAAGCGAGGAGCACATATTTATGGAACAAACTGTCTCTGAAGTGATGCCCTGGGTGCATGTTGCATCAGTTTAACATATGCAAAGCGAACAAAGCTACAAAAATTAAACTCTTTTCTCTTGATTGAGAGCAGATATGCAGAAACAGTTGTAAGTCACAGATCTGGCTTTTAATAAAGCCAGATTTCTTCATTAAAAGCAGTATTGTTTAAACACTGGAGGAAAAAATAGCTTTGTACAAACTAAAATCTTAGATTATATGTATCCCAAGTGTATTTAACATATTACCTGAGGCCAAGCTAAATTACAATCTAGAATTTCCTTTTGTGAATTCTCAGCAACTGCCACAGAGAGCAAAACAATGTCTGGTTCATGCTAATTTTATTGGGGAAGGGGAGAGGAGATGGATTTAACTGAGCTGCTGAAAAAGCATCTTTTTACCTCCTCTCAGAGCCTTTCACCAGACCATTTTCAGTTAACACTTCACATTTTTTTGAATCTGCAAATGGCGCAGGCTCAGTTGTGGCTTTTAATGATATTTTACCCATGTCAGAGTCACTTTTAGTAACGTTTAATTTAACGAGGAGCAGAGCCTGTCACAAAGCTGCCCCAATAAAAAAGCAAACAACACCCCCCTTATTTTCCTTTCTCAGGTGCTTAATTTCAACAACTGATTTTAATAACCTGAAGCAACAGAAACTATGGGCAAATATTCAGTCCAGGGCATTGTATGTGGACAAGTTTGAAGAGGAGAACTGTTTGGTCAAGGACAGCTGGCTAAGGATACCTGAAAAGCCAACTTCTTCTTGCAGGGGGGAAGCAGGAGACAGCTGGGATATTTTCATTTCCCTACGAGATGGCAGACCTCAGTCGTGAAGGCTCTGGATGGCGATTAGCACCCAAGCTTAGCCGTAAAACCTTGCCCTCGGCCGGAGACGGAGCGTGCCGAGGGCTGCGGAGCCGTCCTCGCCGCGGGATGGAGAGCGGCCGAAAGCCCCCCGCTCCGCTCCGCTGGCAGGAGCATCGCCAGCCAGGCTGGACGAGCCGCCTGAGAACTTCCCCCTGCATCGCATGAGGCTCAGGAACGGCCCTGCTGAATAAAGCCGTGCTCTCAATACCGCTGCAAGCTCATTATTTTATAATCACCTCACCGACTATCACGACAGCGCCTAGCGCGGGGGCATCCCCAGTGTGCAGCAGACCGGCGAATGCGGTAATTATCAAATAATTGGCCACCAGAAGAAGCTCCTGCCTTCCCCTAGCAGTTGCCTCACACCCTGGCATCAAAGTTTTTCTTTCTTTCTTTCTTTTTTTTCAATTCCCTTGCGAAAAAAAAGGAGGAATCCTGTCTGAATCCTGTCAAATAAAACTCTAAATGTTTGCATTTTCCATATGATGTCTAATCCTATTTGGAATGCTTCTGAACATTTGGCCTTGATTACATCTTGGAGCAATGAATTTCACAGGTCATTGTGTGTTGAATAAAAAGTATTTCTTTTTGTCAGGTTCACTGAATGTCCCCTTGTTCTTTAATTATAAGGCAAGATGAATAGGAGAGCTAGATTTACCTTCTCTATGCTGTCCATTATTCCATGTACCTCTATTATGTCTCCTCTCATTCATCTCCTTTCTGCACAAAATCGCCACAATCTGTTCAACCTCCCTTCACATGAAAATCCTTCCATGCTTGCAATCATTCCTGCTGTTTGTCCCTGAACTCCTCCTAATTCCACTACACTTTTTTGAGATAGGAAAACCAAAACAGAAGGCAGCTCCAGGGAAGGTATACACACATGTATGTATGTGTAAATATATACCTGAGGCATACACTGCCACTCCATCAGTTCTGGTGTCCTTTCTCGCGTGCCTTTTCAATTCAATGGGGTTTTGGTCTTGGTTTTAGGGCTTCTTGCACACCGAGGAGAAACTTCCATGCGACTCTAGCAGAGGCACACGGTCTCCTCCCTATATGTATATGGTTAATTGAAATTCTTTCTTCTAATCTGCCCTGCCTTGCCCTTAGCATGTGGGATGAGCAGGGGATCAAGCCTAGTCCCCTACAGCGCCGCACAGCAGCAAACTGGCCATGGATCTGTCAGGTCCCTTTCTCTTTCCACATATTTTCCCCTAGTCTTAATTAACCTAAAGAGCTTGAACCATCTGAAAATACTGCCAGATAACTCCTTGTTCCCTTCCTCCATTCCACGTGTGAGTAAGCAACTCTATTTCTGGAATGAAATTTGGAAGTATAAAACCGAATGCCTTTTAATCCTGTTGAAGATTGCACTGATCTAGCTGAGCTCTGCACGTGCACAACCTCACCGCTTCCTAATCGAGAATTGCTGCTTCTCAGCTCCTACAGGACAGTTATTTTTGCATTAACTTCTGCTGAGGGATTTTAAGATTTCTGTAGACTTACATGCATTGTGTTAGATGGTCTTCCTTATTATTTTTCTGATACATTAAAAAAGAAAAAGATTGAAGAGACATGCTTTTTCTCTGCAAGAGACAAAGCAACAGCAAAGTATTTCCTTTGCAGAGTGCAAGACATCTGTCCTGGAGACCCAAGTGGTGCACGTAACGCAAGCTGCGGACCTGATCCCACAGGCTTTTGTGACACACCACTTACCCAGGCAGCGGCGACAGACCAGGGGCTCAATAACGCAAGCATGAGCTTGCGAGCCCGAGGAGGGTCTGCAAAGCCAGGCTTCTGTGCACCGGCTATTTCACGTTGGAGAAAGGTCACGTAATCCAGAGTGGAACACACGGCACAGTGAGCGTACACAGCTCTAACTCTGAACTACCTTCTCCCCCAAAATTTAAGCACGTGTTTAAGACAAGGACAGGCTTACCTCCCATTCCTTAAACCTTCTTCACCCCTGCGTGCCAAAACCATGCCTTATGCTAAAACCTGCACCCAGCTTCCCAAGCAAGTGGCGGGTCCCGAGTGAAATGCAACACTACCACAAACTTTTTGAAAGCAAAAAAGGAAAAGCATTTCAGGACCTGGGTAGGGGCAGTGACTTTATGTTCACCTGGCCTGGAAGTCAAAGCATAAGCGAACCCCCGACGATTTCACACCCCCTCGTGCCCTCTGCCCTGCACGCACGCACACACACGCACGATCTGCACCTCTGCGCATGCGGCTGCGAGAAGAAGGGTAAACGAGGGCTGCGCCCCGACGTGAACTGCAGATGGAAAGGCACGGGAGAGCCCGCCCTCGCTGCCGCTCTCGCCGGCGCGCTCCTGCCTGCTGCCGCGGGGCTGCCGTTCCCCGTACACCCGCCGCGGTGCCTGCCGGCGACTTCTCGGTGCGCCCGTGCCCTCAGCCGACCCGAGCTGCGTCGGCGAGGATGGTTAACGAGGCCGGGCGCGGAGCGGAGCGGCTCGGTACCAGTGGCAAGAGTCGTGCCGAGCTGGGCTGAGGGTGCGGGCAGGGACAAACAGAAACGGGCGCACTGGCTGCCACCGGAGCGAAACGGTTTGGAGCTGTGAAATAGGTCCCCTACGCACCGCGGGAAGGTAAGGCAGCATCGCTCCCCCCGTGAACGTGCACGCAGGCGTCAGCGCGTACTGTCTCCGAGAAGCCGCGAAGCCTCGCGGACCCGTACGCCCGCCCGTCCCTTCCCTCCCCGAGCCCCGGCGATCGGTTAGTTTTCCACCCCAGCGCCGCCGGCGAGCCCCGCGGCTTACCATGAGCGAGTGCCGGTTGGCGGAGAGCAGGCCGGTGCCGTAGCCGGAGCCCAGACCGGCCATGGCTCCGTTGTGCGACGGCCCTATCAAGCCGTGCATGTCGGCGTGGCCCCCCGGCATGGCGGTGGCGGGCCCCACCGCGTGGTTGCGCAGGACGTGGATGGCGTCGTCCAGTCTCTCCAGGCGGTCCTCGATCCGGCTTTGCTGTTGGTGTGCGAGAAACAAAGCGGGAAGAGCGTCAGCAGGCGCGCAGGGATGCCCAGCGCCGGGCACGAGGCGCTGCCGCCGGTGTGCGTGGGGCGCGCGGGGGCACGGTCACTGACAGCCAGTCCTTCCTTCTCAACCCCTTGGTGTTTTTTTTTTTGTTGGTTTTGGCTTTTTTTTTTTTTTTTTTTTTTTTTGGAGAGGAGTGGTTTTGTTTCCCTAGGGCAATGTTTAGAGTAGCGTTTCGGGGAAGGAGAGAGCATGGTTAACACGAGTACAGCTTTGATTTTCATGGGCAAAACAGGTTCAATGATTCCTCATGAACATAATCATTACAGTACATATGTTGCCCTCTATGTCTTTGAAAAGTTTTAGTGATACTTAAAAAAAAAAATAAATAAAAAAAAATAAAAAAGAAGTAGAAGTAAAGAAACAAATATACCTCTAATTGTAATCAATCTCTGACTGGGATTTTCCTCCCCCCATCTAATCCCACGATCACACACAAAGAGAGAAAGAGAAACTACCAGGTCCTACAGTCCCTTGCTGCTAGTCGGATTTTTTCCCTGCAGGTATGCATCCTGAAATCACTTTTTATCACTGGTAAAAGCAGCAATAAAACCTCTTCCCTAACTGAGCAGCTTACAGCCAGTGAGCGATGTGGTTAACAACTAGCAGCCGGGGCGGTCCTGGGGGCGAGGGGTACAGGGCTGCTCCCAACACCCCCCCCCGGCTACAATGCCACTGGGGTCCCTACAACCCCGCGCCCGGGAAGGAGGGGCCCTCGCCTCCCACTTCTCCGACCATCCTAAAAATTCTGGGCCCTGGGGAGGGCCTCCGAGATCCCGGACCGCCGCTTCACCACGTTACTGCCTCCCAACACCGTGCTCCCGCTAAGCCAAAAACCAGCCCCCGAGGCGTGCTGCCGGTGGGGCGAGGACAAGGAGAAGCAACGGGCTGCAGGGAATAACGACCTCGAGGCTTCAGCCTGCCCGTCGCAGGGGCTGCTCCCCAAAGGGAGGGACGCGCGTGTGCGTGGGATGCTCTGGGAACAACCCGCTGCCCACAGAGACCCCCCTGCACCCCCTGCTCTGCTGCCCCCAAGCCCCACCGCTGTCCTCAGCCATCCCCAGCGCAAGCCACGTGCGGACCCAGGCACCTGAAGTCTTTGCTCTTTAATAAAATAGGAAAAGGGGAAGCTCGACAGGACAGTCCCCAAGCACTGGGGAACCTGAGCTGCAAAAATAATCAGACATAGCTTAAGGGTCTCTTCAGCAAATCTCTTAACCAATCCATTGCTCTCTAAAAACCAAAATGACTAAAAAATCTCCAGAAGACAGCAAGCCTAGAAAATACCGCGGTCAATCGCGAGAAGGATTTCTGTATCAGGACAGTAAAAATAGTCCGTACCAATTCCTGACTCTGGCAAACTTCTAACGAAGCCAACAGGACTGCTGCATCGCCCCGTACTAGGGGGTCAGACACTGTGCTCTTGGGAACTACCCAATTGCTTTTTTTTAAAGGAAACTTTTAAGCTCTAGCGCTATTTATTTCACACCCAACAACATGTCAGGCATTTCACACCGGTCAGCGAAACCCCCTAGACTTCCAGCCGAGACCAACAACCGACCGAGAAGAGTGAGACAGAGGACGTGGGGCTCTCTACAGTTCTGCTCTGTCCTACCGTGCTTCTGGCCAGCTCCAACTCTTACTTCATCTTTCCATTAGGAAAGGTAACAAATCTTACTGACACCCCTTTAACCCTCTCTGCCACACGAGCGTTTAGGACCAGCTCGGCCTGGCAAACTCAGCCTGCCGGCTTTTCCCAGGGAGAGGACTCCTGACCGTCACTGCCGCGCCAGCCGCGCTCCCTCCCTCGCTCCGTGGGACTGACGGACGCTCCGTCCTGTCTGACAGCCACCACGGTTTTCTACTCCCGTTTTCTCTTCCATCTATTCCATCTGCCTGCTCATCCTCCCCTCTTTTTGTGGTCCTCGTTCCCCTTTTCAGTAGATTCCAGCACCGCATCCCCTGTCAGACAGGAGACGCTGGCCAGCAGCATCTGAAACCGCACCACGTATCTAGAGCACGGGGCACCCATGATACGAATTTAGAGGTGGTAAAATCAAGTCCGAGGGCATAGTGGTCACTAACAAAATGAAAACCTGTGTGAGAAGAATGGATGAGAAATGGAAAGAACAGCAAGTAAAATACTGAGGCAGAGGAGGTCACTAATCAAAACATACCAAAGAGTGTAAGGGACCTTCATAATTGGGAGATGATGACGCTTGACCTCCATTTCTAGACCAAACAGCTGTGCCTGCTAATAGTAAAATTGGAATTACCATTAGAACTATGCAAACAAAAATGTCTTTCAAACTTTTTGGACAGTTTTGTAGACATGTAAATGCCGTATTCCAGATAGACTATAGAGCAGACATATGGAGAACTTCCAAAATACACACGGATGAAAAAAAAAGGTATTTTGTAGCAAAGCACGTAGATGCAGGCCACAAAGTTCCCCCAGGCTGCTCCTCCACATAGAGGGCTGCATTCATTCGGCAGCTGGAGCTGCGAGAGGCTCCGGGAGAAGGAAACGTCTCGGTGGTGGAAGGAGAAGCAGCGCGGCCGCAGGGTGCTGCAGGGCGGCTGGACCCCTATGCGAGCCCAGCACAGACTAGCCCATTCTCCTAGCCTTGCTTCCAGACACGCTCAGTGCCACTGGTTACGTCATCCCATCATCAAATTTACAAAATCTTAAAAAAAAGAAGTCAGTAAAAGCACTGCACACAACATTCACGTAGACGCTGATAAGGTTTGCGCTCTCTTTGGGCAGATTATTTGGTTTGGCCCGGTGAGACCGCCAAGGGTCTGACCGAAAACCTTCTGGTTTGTATCCGCTGCTCTAAATCTGTTCCTGCTGCTGCGGGAAGAAAAGGGCTCCTGGTCTCCAGCAGCATTTTCTAAGGAAAAATTTGCCCTCGTGAAAGAGGCAAAGCAAACATGGGGAAAAGAAGTGTTTTCGAGTAGTTTCCCAACAGCTTTTATACATACAGCACAACGCTTAGACAATTTAGAATGCTCTTTTGAACGAGTGATCTTCTGAATGATCTCATAAAACGGGGTTAAGAATTTGAGATGGAAATATTAGGAATTTAATCTTACTGTCTACATTGAGTGGCATTTGCTTGGACTGAGATAGGCCAGGGTGGAACTCATGGCAATTTTTTTAGGCTCTCACAGTTAAGATTTTTCTTCTCATAAAAGTCAGAATTATGTCAGTTTTAATTAAAACTTAAATCTTCCCTTTCAGGTCCCCATGGAGCTTTTAGTTGAGTTTTTGCTATAGCACTGTATGGAGCAATGAACGGCAATCTTTACTTTTGAGATCATTTTTAACTAGCCCTTGATATCCTTGAGGGAAAGCGTTTTGCATGCTAAACACTTTCAGCTCTTATTTAAATGCACTTATACTCCTTATTTTTATTTATTTTGACACCCGGTTCTCCCTATTTACCCAGTAGAGCCTGCAGAGAGCAACGCAGCCCAAATTAGCACAGGATTTTTCTCTTTGGCTCGGCCCCTTCTGTCGGGAAGGAGGGCAGCACCTCGCTAGGAGAAACGCAGCCCCAGTGCTGGCGGTCCTACACCTCGGGGGTGGTTCTAGGCAAAATAAGGGCAGAAAGTCCTTTTCTGAGACGGGCCGGGTGGTCCCTCTTGTCCCCCAGCCCCTGCTAGGGGTGGCTCTATGGGGACTGGATGTCACCCTGACCTTACATGCTCCTTCAGAAGGGGCGAGCGCCATGGAGGTGGACGCGGTGTCCTCCCAGCCCTCCTCCTGGACCTCCTCCTGCAGAGGCTGCCGGCTAGCACAAGCTTCTCTCCATCCCTCCTTCCAAAAGGGTCTCGGCACTGTAGAGCCGCTACTAGGTGTAGGTCCCTGAGGCTGGGGCACCACTTGAAAGGATCAGGAGCCCAGGAGCTCCCTCCACCTCCGTCCTGCTACTCACGCCCCATGGGGAACGAGGGATGGATCACGTCTCTCGCCAGCGCTGCCCTACGGAAACACGGCCGCCTCGGCTGCCTTTCGGGATTCCCGGTGAGGTTAACGGGATCCAGGGCTCATGCACAACGAAGAGGAGACCGGGGTCTTCGGTTACTGGTGATTAGAGACCTCGTCTCAAGGAGGGGATGGAAAGCCAAGGGGCCTTCTCCAAGGCGTCAGCGTGTGCTGCGTGGGAGGAGAAGCCTAATGCTCCAGCTGAAAAGTCAGTCTCACAGTTTAAGGAATCTGAATTAGATTCAGGTAAACATTTAAAACACCTGATGCTCATGAGAACTACCCTGGGCCTCCGGACCTTTTCAGTTTAGGCTTTTATTAGTAAAGTGGGTTTAGTTAAAATATGCAATTACTGTAAAAAAAGCATGAAACGAATCGACTGGGTTCACAGGGGCTCAGTTTGTCCAGAGACACGTTTTATGGATCAAGCAAGCGTTTGCTTCGGCCCCAGGAGGGGACGGTGGGGGGGGAACGTCCGAGGAGACGTACCTGGCACGGCCACCCCGGAGCGAGGCTGCCGCGAGGGCTTTGGGTGCCTCCGTGCAGGGGCACGGCCACGGGACGGGGACGCGCTCTGCACGGGGCAGAAATCATCTGCCGCGAGACCCCGAGGGCGCTGCAGAAAGCCGCAATGAGGGCGCGTGAAACCACTGCTTTTCTGGAAAGGCGTTCCGCCCGAGAGCTGCAACCACCTTCTCTCTGCACGGGGAAATACAGCGTGTAGGACACCTCTCTGCTCGGCTCTGCGGGACCGGCGGCCGCCTGCGCGCGCCGCACGGCAATTCGGGAACCGCCTGGTGCTGCCGGCTGGATGCGCATCTCACACCCAGTACCGTAGGAGCTCATTTAGGCACCTCCTACCAAAAATACGTTGAAACGTTCAGTAAAATAGAATTGTAACAACAATACCTGAGAGAGAAGGGGGAGAACCAACAGGAGTTGAAGGATTTGATGAAAAGCTGTTGTTGGTGTGATCTGGAGAATAGATCTTTAAAAGATGATACAGAATTAATCTAAAGCCATCACAAACTGATGCAGAAAGAAATATGGAGTTCTTATGCATTCAGTTCATTTAAATGAAAGCAGGACAGGTTAAAAAGCCTCTTATTCAAATATTAATATTTTTATAAAGACAAAACTGTATTAGATGCAGGAAGCCAGACAACAGACCCCTTTTGATGGGAACAGACACTAGCCAATTAAGCGATGGTTTCTGATTGTCACACGGATCTGCTACGGTACATATACACATTTTCATTGCATAGACTACTTTACGAACGAGTGTCATTGAACAAGGCCTTAAAGCACGCCTGAAAATTGCTTTTTCGTTATGCTGAAATCCCTTAACGGCCAAAATAAAGCAAAGGGAGCGGAGCACGTCAAACCCTGGCACGGCGGGTAATCCGCAGCAGCAAACTCCAACTACTCGTCCGCTGCTCCGGCGAGAAAGCCCCCGCGTGCCCCGTGCCCGGGCGAGGGTGCCACCGCCCCGCGGCATCCCTGCTCACCACCCGTGCCATTTGTCAGGGCACCACTTCAAAGTGGATTCTGTACTGTATCAGTTATTTCAGGCAAACTAGAGCGTGACTTTTCGTCTTTTTCAATGAAGCATCGAAGAATGTGCAAAAAAAATTAACTCTCATGAGAACTCAATGGAACCCACTCTGCCCAGAAAATAACTATAGTGGTCCTTATTAAAAGTCAGCCCATGCCAACTGGTACCGCAGCAATAGCTGGGGCACGGCAGGGTTTCCTCCCGCTCTGAGCTGGAAAACTGCCGTACCCCAGCTACCCAGGTAAGAGGTGGTAACTGCTGACTTTAACAGCAACCACAGTAACTGAATAGGTGGAAACTGCCATGAAAAATAGAAAATCTAAAGGCAAATTCAAAAGGAATCCTGTTTGCGGATGGCTCGGTAGTGCAGAAGTCATCCTGCCGCTGGGTTCTGTTCAGACCTCCCTTGCCCTAGGAAATGCAGTGTGCGGTAGACTAACAGACACAGCTCCTTGGCACCCAGTCAACGGGACCAGGTCAAGGCTTCCCCTCTTTCCCTTTCTATTCTACCATAAAATTAAGTCTAAAACTTTTTAAACACCATTTTGCACTGATTGTTCAGTATTTCGGTTGGCAGTAACTCCATGCGGGTGACCTCTGAGACCAGATCTCTCCCGTTTGCTGTTCATCTTCGTAAACTCCAGGCGTCCAAATTCTGATTAAAGTTCACACTTTCAAAACGGTAAACGTGTATTCCAAAGTAAATATTTCCTTACAGAGGCAAGTGCTTTCCCCAGCGCATCACCAGTCTGCGAGCTGCCTGCTGCCCCACTTCCTCTGTTTGCTGAAAAACAAAAGACTCGATGTAAAAACAGACAGTAAGACATCATAGACTTCTATTCCTGGTCCACTTACTCAAAGTTTAATTGCATTTTAATGCTAATTACATAAAATTAATCTTTAATTACCATTAATTTGTTTGCTAAGGTAGATATCAAACACATTCATGCTCCATTTTTGCAGAGAAAATATGAACTTGATGTGCTTTTTTTAAAAAAATACATTGCGTATTTAATAGTACTTGGCCACGTGGCTTTTTCTGAAAGAAAGGCTTCTAATAGAAGATGCTCAAAGGTATGGAAAATATGCAAGCACACAAAATATGCAAGCGAGCCGGAGCCCGGGGTTGGGGAAGGGCTCCTGCCTGCCCTGCCTGCGCTCAGAGCCGGTGCCCGTCCCAGGGCGCTGAGTTTGTGCTAATCCACTCTCACGAGGGTGGCGTTCTTCAAAAACTCTAAGGCACTTGTGTATAAGGGCAGTATTTCACACACAAAACTACCACCGAGGACCACTATAAAGGCAGCAAAGACAAAGTCCCTAGAGCCAGGAATGCTCGAGCTCAGCCTGCCTGCGCAGCCCAGTTCCCCTCTCCGCGCCCGCACTGGGACCGGTCATTAATTCCAGGCTCTTGCCGCGCTCCCAGGCAGCCCTAGCCTCCCTCGCTGCGAGGGAAGGACAAAGTGCTGACAATAGGCAGCTACCCACTATTTTGTGGTCTCCCCGTTCACTCTGTGACCCTGGTCCTTTGTATACTTTTGAATGCATGTTTTAAAGACATTATTAAAATCCATATGGACTTTTCCAAAGCGTTCCTTCTGACTTCACTTGAACATTTCATGAGCATTTAATGAAATGATTTTTCACCATCTCTCAGGTGATGAGATTGTACCTTTTACGTAAGAAATTTAGGGCAAGAAAAATCATGGTGTAGCAGGCCACCAGTTTCTCACGCTCAGGTGACAGGATTGAAACTTCTCCGTTACAGGAGAAACTGAAGGAAAGAAAAATCAGGGTGAAATATCCCACCAGTTTCAGCATCTCTATGTCCATTTATAAACTAAAAGCGCAGCTTTGCCTGACTGCTGCCTGTGATCGATACTTCTGCTTTCATCTCTGAGGACCCTTAGCCAGGCGGCCAGAAAACAAGAAACAAGCAGTCGGTAACCACCCCTGAAAGTCTGGATTAATGTCTGGAACACAAGGGCCGAGGCAGGACAGGATCCCATATGCAGCGGGGTTTGAAGGGCTTCGGTCCCCCCTCCTTCCCTTCGGCAGGCTCCACACCCCGAGGCCACGGGATCCCGCGCCCAGGGGACCTCAGGAGCAAACCCAGCCCTTGCTCTGAGCCGGGGGTGTCCCGTGGGAAAAGGATTTGGGGACCAAATTGCCCACGTTCGTACCATGAAGTGCAAGCACGGGCACTTTTTTGGTCATTAAAAAGTGACATTAAAAAGCCTCCTCCAAGTTTCACCCCAGCATTACTCAGCTAAATATTCAGGGCATGGGAAAGAGCAGGGTTGGATCCATTTTACAGCTCTTTGATTTTGGCCATGGGTGTAACTACTCATAACTGAATGTATATGGACCAGCGTTCAAAGCAGATGAGCTGATCTGCCGGTGGACGTTGCAGCTCCACAGCAGCAGCAGGGAAATCTGTGGTCCAGGGGATGTCCTGCCATGCCCCTTCAGAGCAACCTTTGGCTCCACCTCCTCCAGTCTTCCCACCTGGTAAGCATTTATCTCATCCACTGTCTCCAGTTAGCTTTTCCTAGTCTCCATCCCTTTCCCCTTTCATCCCAGCCTTCCTTGCTTAGCAGTTACCTTATCTCTCCTGTCAGAGGATCAGTTATTGATCACCTGTCCTGCCTAAGCCCAAAATTTCTAGTAGCAGCTTCAGCAGGTTTGAGTTGGGAAAACTTAAAAAATAGCACAGAACAGCATTTTCCTTCTATTTCTCACGTACAACATGCACGTTAACAAATTTAAGAAAGGCAGCATCTTTGCATTTAACCTGACTGCATGACTCTGATGGTTCAGCATTTCTCCTACAGCAGACTCCTCTGGAAAGGCCTCAAGGTCTACATGTGTCCCAGATGCTGTTAGACAAACGTGTACAGTGCAGTCTGCAAGGACGTCTTTGCTGACTCCTTTTTTTCCCCTTTTCTTAGTTAAACTTTTATTTTTATTATTGTGTACTTGAAAATGTGCTCATCTGCCAATGACAGCTTATTTGTGATCTCAGCTCAGTTTGAAATTAGGCATCGAGATGTATAAAGAAAGATATATAAAGAAACACGAAGACAGATAGAACAGGCGGTGTCAGCTAGAGATACAACTTATCAGGGTAATTTAATGTTGTAAATCACAACCTAAAGGTTTGCGACTTGAATAACACCAGGCAGATGTCCAGAAATTCAGTTACTTCGCTCTAAAGTGAACTGTGAATCTAAATGTAAATCATGCATTGTTTTTTCCTTTTTCTAAGTGACTCTAACTGCATTATCCTAAAATTAAGTCCTACATTTGTCTGTCTGAAGGCTGGTTTCTCCTAATGAGATGAGCTATACTGGTCCTGTGGGAGAAGCGAACATAGGGACCACAGTCTTGCTCCACGTGCTCTTAGAAACATGACAGCACCGAGCTGGGCCATGTCTTATATTAGTTATCGCTAAGAACAAAGGAATTCTTCAGATATACTGAATATTAAACTTTTCCTGAAAGACTTTGAAGACAAATTACTGCGGTAGGCCTGGAAAACATATAGGGAGAGCCTCAGAGATGGGCAGCAGTGTGCAAAGTTCCCTTTTGCAGAGAAGAGGGAGCTTCACTGGGAAAGGGATGCTTGAAAAGCAATACAGGAGAGGTTTACAACAAGGGGAAGGCAAGCTCTGCATCATTATTCATTGCTATCCCCATACAAAAACTGAAAGCCACCCATTAAAACAAAAAAAAGCAGAGAGTGTGTGTGTGTTCACCAGCGTCCAGTCAGATGGGGAAACTTGTTGCTTTAAGGTATGCAAAGACCAAACATATAAATAGATTTAAAAATACCAATTCATGGAAAAGAACATCCATCAGTGGCTACTGAACACCAGCCCCAGACACAACCCCAGCTCGGGATGGCTCTGGGCTGCAGGCTGCAAAACCCCGAGGAAAGGCCAGAGGAGGGAGGAGGGCACGCACGGGCGCTTTGGGCTGAGGCTCCTTCCCTGCTGCAAAGCCAGTGCTCTTGGGTTTGGGTGCTCAGGGACAGTGGAGAAAACGGGCAAAGGAAGGTAACTGCGGCACCTTCTGCTTGGAAGACCAAGATAAACGTAAGTAGGCAGAGATCTTTGAGAGCGTTCATGTCACAAAAACACCGGGATTACTTAAATACAGCTAGCTATTTTAATGTATGTTTTTCTTTCTTACATCAAAAACCATTTTACACTGCGAACTATTATTTGCTTTAGCTATCATTTTGGTAACCTAAGGGACATGACTGAAATCTGTAGGTGACTAAGAAAACCTTGCATTTGAAGGAAGAACAGAAAAAATAGAGCCTTAAGAAGAAACACAGCAAGGAGCATACGCTGCAAGAGCCCAAAGATTTCAGGAGCAATGGGACAAAACTAACATCGTCCCAGGACTGGGCACTACGGAAATAAGAACCAGACCTCAAACGTAGGAAAAGACAACCCAGGGTATTGCTACAGAGAAAGGTAATGTACAGCGCTGCTTTACATAGGGAACGGCTATGGAATATAATCAACTGTTTCTATTAATATCGTACAGCTGTTGGTCCATCCCTTTACCATCAGCTTCACTGAAACACTATTTAAATACAGCTGCTGACACTCCAAAGGCTGAGCAGGGACAGGCTTAGCTGGCAGCTTTGGTGTGCACTACAACTGTCAGGTTTAAACCATCGGGATATTTACCCAAGCTCTGAAAAGCACCGCTTGCTGTCCAGAACAGCACCCAGAATGGAAGAAAATGTATACGAAAAGCAAGAAAGTGTATTGGGACTAGGCTGGGATGTGCATCGTCAAGACAGATGCAGATACCCAGAGCACGTCTGTGCAGACCCCGCTCCTCGTGCGCGAGCGGCCGGCAGGGAAGAGCCGTGGGGAAGAAGGATTGCAGCCCAGCCCAGCTGGCACCAGATTTGTCACCCTGCACCAAAGAGTAATCTGATGAAATCCACGCACAGTGCTCCCACAGCAGCCCTATAAATCTTCCTGGCAGGGCCATTCACGAGATAACCTGCGGAGAGTGTGCCAAACTCCGGCTGAACGAACTCTGAAATAACTTGAGGATCACCACGGCAGGGGCTGAGACAGTCTAAAGCCTCACTCTGTCACCTCTGGGTAAAACCGATCCTCAGGTGGTTTTCCAAAAAAATTTGTAGAATGCAGAACAGATATCAATCCTATCTAAATAAAAGGCTTTCGTCACAAGTGCTCCTCCACTTCCCTTCAGCTTTCGGAAGAAAACCATAAGATGTAAGGGTTGAGCAAGATGGAGTATCTTAGGCAAATATTTAATGCAAGTTACATGTAAGACAAAAAAAATACTTTGAAAGAGTGATTTTTAATGGCTTAAAAGTTAGTACTAAAAGCTTTTTCAAGCCCATCAGAAACAAAGACAATGACGGAGAGTTGGTAGGACCTGCAAACAACCAAGATACAACAGAAGAATTCAAGGATAAAAAGTGTAAGAGAAGAAATGCTAAACAGATTATTTTCATCTGCCTTGCCACGGGACAGATGATATTTTACAAGAGATTAGTCAGAAAAATTGGCTCCAACTGAAGTGTCAATGTAAAGGCTTTAAAATAAGTCAACAAAAAGAAAACTAAAGAAGAGCCAAATGACATTTCGAAGAGCTCTCAGTAAACTCAAACTCAAAAATGTCTAACTTCTAACCGCAGTGTAAAATCGACTGCTTAGACCAACCTAGTGCTGAAGTAAAGAAGGTAGAAAATATTAAAAACCAATACTGAAAACAAAGTTCTGTGAATTCAAAGAGCCACCACATTTTAAATCTGACTTCTGTATGAGGAAAGATAACAGAGTGCAATATACATATGGATAAATACACCATATTGCACAACCAACAGCGCTTCTGTGGAGCAAAACATGTCTTGAAAATCTAAATTCTTTCAAAAACATGACGAGCACATCGATGCAGGAGATCCAGTAAATATAACGGATCTGTACTCTCATCTTTCAACAAAGCCACCTTCCAAAGGCTCTTAAAGAAACTAAACTGTCTTCAGATAACAGGGAAGTGAAGATGTTCTTGCAGATTAAAAAATGACTAAGAGAGAGACTACAAGAGAAGGAATTAATAGTTAGCTTTATAAGGGAGGAGTATTACCAGCAAATTCCCAGTTGCGCAGATCTGTACCGTTCAACATACTCATACATGGCCTGGAAAAAGACGTGGCATACGCCGAGGTTGTAACGTTTGGCAAGATCCTGATTCAGGATAATAAAATATATTATGTGTAAAGAGCAGCTCTTGTAACACTAACTTGCTAGGCAATAAATACCATACATACATAGAAAACACCAGTCAACAAACATGGGGGGAAAAAAGCCTGATGCCATAAATACACACAAGCGGGCTCTCAGTTACCTAATCAGCAGGAAGAGGAGAAAACCTAGAGCTGCAGCGAGTAATTAGCTGACAACCTGAGCTGACGGTTAAGCAGTAGCACCAGTCCCTCACTGCCCCCAAGAAGACCCCAACGAGCAACGACTGTGTCATGAGCAGAGACAACCCAGAAGCCCGTTACGTCCCTCGATGAATTCACGACACACCTCTATTTTGGATAGGGAGCAAAGATCTGGTAAGTCCATCATGAAAGCATCAAGGTCTATTGAACAGAAGAAGTGAAGTCAGAAAAAGCAGAAGATGGTTCCTTTAGAGGACAAGCTCAGTAAATGTGGATCCTCTGGCTTGGAAAAGGGACCACTACAGTGGGGTATGGCACAGGCTACCTAAACCCAAACAACAGGGGAGAAAGGCTCTCATCCGTTGTTTATAGCAACACGAGAAGGAGGGAGGACCACATCGGGTCTTGAGGGAGCAGAGTCAAAATGAAAGAGGAGGAACACCGTCTCACAAGTGTTTAACGTCACTGTGCCAGGCCAAGCCTCCAGGAAAGGCTGGGAGAAGAATGAACTCAAGCTTCCTAAATACTGAGTGCTGCACCCAGTGCTGGAACGACTGGGAAAACATCATATATGCTTGCTTTGTTTTTATATTCCTCCCAAGGAAATCCTTAGAGTCTTTGCTGGAGACGGGACTGTTGCATAGATGAGCTTTTGGTCTGAACAAGGACAGATGTTTCCAAGTTCTTATGCGAAACACGGAACAACTTAGCGCAAGGAATGCTAGGGAACTCCCCCAAAACTGGAAGGGCACAGTTTATCCAAGACATTTCTGCACTGGGCTTTAATTGAATGAAGTAGCTGAATCCAGACTTCAAGAAAGATTTCAATTAATTAATTGATGATGGACAAAGCTTTGAGGCACGAGCAAGGGAACACCTGACGAACCTTCCCGGAAAAGAAATTAAAACAGCTAAGCAAAGTCCATCTCCACAGAGCAGGTAGCGAGCGTGCAGCCAGGGGAAGCTGTGCAAGCAGACAGCTTCAGCAGGTTCAAAGGGGATTAGACGATTGCATGGACAGCAGGTCCATAAATAGGTGCCTGAAGAACCAGGCAGGGATGTCCCCTTCAACCTCACTAACACGACAGCCCTGGCTGCTGGGGCAGCATGAAGGGCAGGAGCTGCAGAAATGGCCAGGATCACATGTTGCCACTGAATGCTAAGCTAGATGGACCAACCATCTGAAGCAGCAAGGCATTTCTTATCTACTTATGCTAGTCTTTATTTCATCAAACTGGTCTAAATGTACTTACTACTAGGGAATACAACTAGGCACACGTGAGCCTGAACGCTGACTTCCCGCTTGAGAAGGCAGGTCTGCACCGACACGAAACACCAGCAAATTCTGGCAAGATGCAGAAGAAGAGGTAACTTGGGAACAGGATTGTAAAAGAGGACTTGAAAACGCACCGCCAAAGCTGTCGCTTTTCCTTGTGAGCTATCCCCCCACTCACAAGACTATTAATGTACTGAAGACACTGTGAAAGACTGCAACCTTTTGATGGATTGATTCTAACTCTGTTGAAGAGCGTGTTTATTGTTATAGTTAATCTCCTAAAACTTTCTCAGCATGTTTCTGCGCAGAACAATTCTGCACTGGAAGGCAAAGGGACAGAATGATGAAGTACAGCCTTTTCACATCCTTCTGGTGGGATTCTGAGTGTAAATCTTAGATTATTGAATAAACTTCCAGGAATCAGTATCTCAGCGAGTATAATTGTATCTAGCAAAGCATCTAGTGTAACCGATAGGCTGCAGCCTTCTATTAGAGAATTCCAGCCAGACTTTTTATAGTTTAAATTCTAGTACAAACTCACGCTGTTCTGATGGAATAGTGCTTTCTGAAACAGCAGACTGGAAATTATGTTTCTATGTTAAGAAGAGTGGAAAAACTTGCACCATCTCAGTATTCACAGCTGATGATGTTCCCAACTTATGAGGAAGTGACATTGCTGGATAAAAGTCATATTCTTCTTATACTGCGCGACAGTTCACCACCCTCCTGTAACTGGAAGCTTAACATTCTTGTAAAATATACAGTGCAGTATTATGTGACTGCTCTGGTAATAAAATTACTGTGAAACCAGTGCCTCAAGGGGAAATGCACATAATGTTTCTCCTGGAAAAGCTGCATGTCACAGTGCATAATGTCATACAAACAACATGTCATTAGAAGTGAAAGCAGCAAGTGGGATTAATACATGCATCAGATGGATACGATAGACTCATACAGCGTATGCTAAAGGCACTCTATCTCAATAACTGGTTGCTTAAACATAGCACCGCTTCAGACCTTTGAAAATAAAAGGCCAACGCTTAGCATAAAATTAACCACTGCCGATGCCGTCCTATAGTCCCTTGAAAGGATTCTCTCCTCGCTGCCTTTCAGAGCTGCACGACCATCGGGGAAGGCAGCTCACCTGCCCCAGCCCTGCTCACTGTGGTCTCTGTCCCCACGTGGGGACGGCACAGTGGGGCTACGTCAACGCGCCCCCCCGTCATCTTCCCCGGGACCGGAATGGAGGCACATCGGCTCCCGGCAGGGCCAGCTCAAACGGCTTCCTCGGGAAAATCAGGGAAAAGACAGCCTGTGCCCAGGCTTCAGGGGAGGTTCACTGGTTTAGGAGGAGAACAGGGCTTGCCTCGAGACCCAGGAAATACTTTTGCAGCCCTCAGTTCAGACATAGCCCGACAGTACTAGCTGTTGAATATTTACAGCTGCTGAAAAAAATCTGCATCTTTGTATTGTTGCTCTTCTGATTCACACACTGGGTTTTTCAGGAGATGAATCCAGATGAAAATCCGGATGCATTTTTTACATGGGAAACTGAGGTACTTCTCTGGGTGGCTCCCAGAGGCAGAGGAGGCTGCATTCACACTCCTACCTGTTTATGTCCCTCTGCAAGATTTTGCATCCCTAAACGTTATCTGTAAGGCTGCTGCATAACTGGTGTGAAGACGGCTGAATTAAACTGGAGTCTATTAGACTTCTTTTGAGGGAGAAAGAGAGAGTGATTTTCCTATGTCACACGCACAGAAGCAGCAATATATTGTAAAGGAAGAACTCTCAATGGAATGGCAAGATTGAGCACAGAAATGCTATCCTGAAATGAGATACGTTTTTCTCAGACAGTGACAAATTAAGAAGAGACTGTATTTAGTTTCTTCTTTGTTCAGAGACCTTGAAAAATATGATGCCCATGTGTTAATGTTTGAACCCACCCTCCATTCTTACTGCATTAGTCCTGCTCACAGTCATTCAATACAGAATCATGTGTGTAATCTGAAACATGTGTCCAGCGATGTGTTCCCTATTTACCAATTATTTAATTAGCTTTATTTGCTCTTTGAGATACAGGCAAAGCAATATTTTTTTATTTCCTGTATTTAAGTATGAACCGGTATTTGCCAAATATTTAAGTATGCAGAGGTATGCTCTTAATTTACAGCGTCACTCTCGGCAACGTCAGAGGCGGTTCTCTCCCCTACAGGGACACGCCGCCATCGCCGCTTCCCCCACACCATGTGGAAACCCAGCAAAGAACTGAAGGGGATGAATGTCGTGATACAGAAGTATCACCTTGCACAGCATTGCAGGCGATTAAATCTCTAAAGACAATAAAATCAGACTTCAAAACTAGCGGGATCGGGCACTTAGCTGGTGCAATGTCTTCCATACAAACTTTGAAGCAAAGCCCTTTGCTGTAATTATATTTACTTCACAAAAAGAAGTAGTCGTAGTAAAATGCATAAGCAAAGGAGGCAAAGGTCAGCTACGATGTACTTACTTCCATGAAATTCTTGCTATCTCTCTGCACCTACTGAACTAAGCAGCTAGTCCTTCCGCACCCTGGGATACACCATCGAATAACCCTCCACCTTGGTTTCACCTCTTTGGCTCTAGCACAGTGCACTGAAGCAGATGTGAGGGGAGACAGGAGGGAAAGAGAGAGCCTCGGGCGGCAGCCGCAGCACCCGACCTCAACTCACCCATGATACTGTCCGTCCCGTTGGCAGGGGGTGTGCAAGAAGATGCGCTGTAATGATTTGTGCCACTGCGGTGGAAGGTGGACATCGGAGGAAGACTGGAATTGATGTCTGCTGAGGAGTGTGATGGGTAGCTCTGTGGCAGAAAGGATAAAAAAAAGGAAATATTTTCACTATTGAGAACATGGAAAGCAGCAGGCTGCTCATACTGCCCCAGTCCCAAGTGCTGTTGTACTTCACCCGACCGCCAAAAGCAGAACGCTGCCCTGAGACTAAGCAGGGAGCGTATTTTTCTACCCTAATTTGACATGTTCTGGAGGAGACACAGCATACACCTATCTGATACGGATAAATATCCACAGTGGACAGTTCGTAACTGATGATAGTACCATAGAGATGTAATGAGAAGGAATTAGAAAAGTTAGGTGATGTATCAAGCAAACCTTTTTGACAGGGGCAGCTATTGGCTGGAGGAGAAGCCTTCTGAGGGAAGTGGTGGAAACCCCGTACTGCTTTTGACATTAAAACCAAGATCTGACTGCAAGACGTGCACGGCTGGTATTACAAAACGTGCCATAAGGAAACACACTGGCATCCCAGGTGATCAACTGGATCAATTTTCCTTCCCACTGCAGTGCCTCTGTGCGACAGACGATCAAAAATGCGATGACCGAGTTCTCCAAACAAGCGTGGGCCAAGCGTCTGGGCAGCACACAGAAGACTTGATTCTACGATTCTGTGACTCGATTCCATGATTCTGTGACTTTGGCAGCTATATGGCTGGATCAACACAAACCTTCATTACTGTGACGCAACACTGCTGCGCTCAAATGTTTTGCTGAATTTGCATTCCTATCAGCCTGGCTTACATTAGTGCTGTTCGTCACTGTTGAATAGTCTTTTCTTGGTTGATGTAAGACACTGTGTGCAGACAGGTCCTAGAACATGCCCAGCTTTTATCTCTATCACAGCATTGCCCCCAGCAGAGAAGAGGTCCTGCAAAAGACCTCTAGGTTTTGGAGACTCTGATACAAAGCCTCCTTAGAAATACGGGCAGCTGGAGACACATGGCAGTACCTGGCCCAGGATCAAGGCACTGAAGTGCTAGAGCAAGATCATCTCTGTGCCCTCTGCTTCCCTAGGTGGTTCAGAGTAAGCTGGCTGAAAACATCTTCCCTTCATTTGTGCTATTTAATTACTTTTACAGGATTTCTTGTAATTAAGTGCCAAGTATCCAAATACTGTGAAGTTATCTCAAAGAATGTAAACAACATAGCCCAAACCTATTTTTCTTATCCATGGAAAAACGACCATCAACTCTGATGGAGGTCTGAATAATGTTTTCAGGCATTGACTCATTATAAACCATTCCAGGACTTCAGCCCCAAACCCAACTGGCTGAAATGGCACAGCTGAACAGAATTTCTCATGTGATGGAGAAAAGAGCAAACAACGATTGCTTAGGTCAACGGTCTGAACATGAGTGACTCCATCTCCCCTGCTAAACGGCTGTTCCATGACACGTATCGAAGTGCTGGTTTGGGATTTTCTCATTTCTCAGGGGGAGACATCAAACCACTACTGCCAAACATTTTAGGAAAAACATGGGATCTGAACAGAGCTTAGCGGAGAACTATTCAATGCATCTATTTAGAAAATCACTGATATGCCTGAGAAAGTAAAAATAATAAACAACAACTTTTCTTTCTTTTGCTATATGCATTTTCTCTACAGGTCACTGAGAAGTTAAGGACATTTGCAGGGAACTGAACTGAAATCACTCAAACTTTCCCCAACCAGCTGACCACTTGTGGACGCTCCAGCTGACCAGAAACTGCTGACCTCTCACTGATGCTCCAGCAGAAATTATGCGGAGAGTATTTAAAGTATCGCTGCCTCCCTTCTGCCCCAGTGTTACCTAAAACATAGAAGGCTCTGCCAGTCCAGACATACATAATAAACAATTAATATGAGCATTACCAGCATTGAGCACCTACAACTTGGACTGGTATCAGTGGTCCTCACTATCTCTGAAATTTAGAATAAATATAATAATACTTGCATTGAAAAAACATTTTGGAGAGTTTAGGTGGAACATCCCTCCCCATTTTACATCGCAGAAATATTTCAGCTCTTCATAAAAAACCCTATATGTTACGAAACCAAGAAATTCAGAATCGAGGTAAACTTAAATGCAAAAATGTTTGCAGACTTGCCCCATGAAGGCACTCTGCTCTTACCTCTACCCTGAGCTGATACCATGAAAAGCCACCTAATTCTGATGAATGAGCACCAGTGTAGATAACAAATTAGATTAAATTGGGTTTTAAAAGTTATGTTCAATTTTTATTATATACGCTTGTCACTTCAGAGCAACGTTAAGTTTGCTTAGTGCCTTAATTATGCCTTTTATAAGGACATGATTAAGCAGTTTTTGAGGCAATTTCTTTTGCTTTTGACTTCCTATTAATTTTACATAGCAGTGTGCTAACCTCGTTAAATGTGAGACTTTAAAGATTTGTTTTGCAAATTAATTTTCAGTTTGCAAGAGTGAGTTTAATTCTTCTTATTCCCCGAAAGATGGTTCTGCAAGACCTTACAGCAACAGACTCTTTCCTCCCTTAAAACCAGTACTCCTCACTACTCTTCCTTTTTAATGACCTTCAAGCATGAAAAGTATAGGCACAGAATAGAAAAACATTACTTGTAATGTTTCACACATTTTGAGAAAAATTACTTCACTTTAGCTGTCTGTTCATTCTTTTACATCTTACTTAAAACGAAAACATAACAAAAAACTGAATTGATGGAACCCAGTGTTATTTCTACATAATCAATTCAGCTGTGATATTAGGAGAATATCCCCTAAGCTGTACTCAGATCAGATTTAATCCCAATTTTATTCTGTTCCAATACAATAGATGGAATTGGTCCCAGCAACTTCCTCCTGCTAGGGATCAGAATGTACCAGAGAAAATAAAAAAACCCTCCCTTTTTTAAAGCAGAAAATTGATGCTAGATAGTTATCTATAAACTCAGACCAGCAAAGGACACTGACTGCCACAAACACCAAAAAGCACAGGCGTGCGCAGCTCCTCGGCGCGCGGGCGGCCACCACACGAGCGGAGGGTACGAACACGGGCTCGACCCTCTTCTCGCGACGTCGGCCGAGGGAAAGCTCTGCGTGACCATTTTTTTCCTCCTCTTTTCACTTCCCAGTGGCACTAGGAGAGGTTCTGTCCAGAGGTGGTGGTCTTCAGTGGAAAGATGTACTGCACGCCGGGCGAAGCCGTGGCAGGACCTCCTCATCATCCTTCCACGGGCAGCAGCAGCCGCCCCCGCTCCCGGGGGCTTCCCAGCCTGCACCACCCTCCAGCTTAAAAATTTCCTTCCCTCAGCAGAGCCTGAATAAAATCTTGAAGGCAAAGCTGCCCCAGCTTTCTCAAACTCGGGCCTGCGGAGCTGGCAACACCCAACGCCGTGCGGAGAACGTTGCGTCGGCCCAACTGGAAGACGTTGCCCACGCCGTGAGCGGGTCGGGGCGACGTGCCCCCCTCCGCCACCCACCCACCCACCCCACGTCCGAGCCTTACCAAGCGGTCGTGCGGGTGCAGGCTGCAGTAGCTGCTGGACTGGGGGATGTGAGAAGAGTTGCCCAGCATGCCCCCGTACCCAGGCTGGTTCATCCCGCTGGAGGAGCTCCACGGGTCGCTGCTGTGATGGCCATCTGTAAGACAGGAGGGAAACACTGCTGGCCACCGGCGCCAGACCCCGCGGAACCGGCGGCTTTGCGCCTCTGCAAACGCCATCCTAACGACCCTAACGGGGCTACAGGGCTACGCCGCTCCAGCAGAAAGCCATGTACTTTAATAAAAACGAAGGCGAACTGAGCAGTGGTGAATACTCGTGTCATCCTGCAATGCTTCGTTACAGCCACGTCATTTAGGCTTGAAAGTTTCCTGCTGATTTATTCCTGCTCTGGTATCATAAACTCAAGTACATGAACTCTGTTATAACAAATTTCATCAGGGACAAAAGCCTGAACATTGAAACGAAATACACTGAAGCCTACAGAATGAGGATGGGCTAATGAGCTTTGGAGAAGCCTCAACTTGGTAACGATCGGATAATTCCTGAACTTTGACTTTCCACATCCAGAAAGTTTTTGGAGCCGTTTCGTTGTTGCTTTTTGTTTGTTTGTTTGTTTAAAAAGAGAGGAGCGCCACTTGTATGGTTTCTCCTTTTAGGGATTTCACAGCTTGTGTCTCTGCACCTCCTAAGCACAGCGTTCATCCTTCAGGCTAGTTCACTGCTGAGGCGCAATGCACACTGAAGAGTGTAAAAAGGGCTCCCCAAATTTTATCGAGTAAAACAGTTGGTTGCATATTTTGCATTTAACTAGACATGCTGAAATGGAATTATAATAATGCAGTGAAATGTATTTTCTACTGGAAGAATGCCAATGTGCTAACAAAAAAAAGGAAAAAATAAAAAGGTAACTTTTCCATAATGATCAGCAGACCTGAAGGACGGGCATGTGGGATGGAAAAGTTGCCGGCTTTTTCAAACTACAGGAGTTGGTCTAATAAAAAATTATTATGTCTCACCTACAGCCCTGCCTTATTTATACACTTCAAACACCCTGGCAGCAGCAACATTTCTAGCATCACCTTACCATGGCTGTTTGAACAGTCATTTAACTCAGATTTATGTCTTCAATACGAATCTGCGAGAAGATAACGTTTAAAACCACAGAATGGCTAAGCACTACAAAGGGTAAATATTTGATATCATTAGAACCCTATTAATCCCCAGCTTTGTAACTCCAGAGGAGTTTCATAGCAGGTTGCTCTCGGGGCGGGGTATTTACTCGTGTTTTAAGCCAAGAGCACCATTTGCTTTTCAGTCCTGGCCCATACTTCCCACCGCTCAGGAAATGGTCCAGATGCAGATCCCCCACCACGGGAGGTGACCAGCGGGGTCAGTGCTTTGAACGACGTCCTCTTCCCTCCCACGAGGACCCACCCGAGCGGGTGGAGGACCAGCAGAACCCCTCCTGGCAGCGTTCGAGCCCCGGACCCGGGGCAGGAGGGTCCACTGGTCCTTCCCGCCCGCATCCCTGCTGGTCCTGCTCCTTTGCAGGTGGGCAGCTCGTCCTCCCGCGCCAGCTGCCTGATGGAAACCCAGACACGAGCATCCTCGAAGGAAGAGCCGGAGATGTGGCGGAGCTCCGCAGGCGCTAGCCCGGTCACCCTGAGACAGGGAGCTGAGCCATCCCCAGGGACGCTGAGCAGCGCCCGTGACCTTCAGGTGGTGGGGACACAAAAGTGGGTTGTTTTGGGTTTTTTCCTAAGGGTGTGAATTGGAAAGTGTGTATACATATGTATATAGAATAAACTCCAGTCCCTTGTCCTGCAAATACTTTAGCCTAGCAGTCCTGCTGAATTAAACAGATTTACTTACCCTGTACTTAGCCTAAAGCAGAGTATATGTAAAAGTGTTTAAAAGCTAATCATTTTGCCCTAAATGTGGCAAAAGAGGGGTATCCTAACTGTATGTGGATCTTCCCAAACTCTAGGAATTTTATTTACTAAGTTACACCAAATTTAACTGTACTGGCACAAAATCATCGCAAGAAACACAACATGGTAGCAGTGAATACATGAAAACTATTAACCCACCCTCAAATGAAATGGCTTCATTTTAAAAAGGTTGCTCTAATTCCATATCTACGCACATAGACATACTTGTAGCACTGTATACTTTACGTAAGACAAAATCTTTCTCATTAACATAAAACAACAATGCACCAAATACAAGCACAAACGTGTGTGCCTTCAGTATATGCATAATATATGTGCACACACACACGCTGCAAAAAAATGCTTCAAGAACCTCAGATGATAAGAGGCTGGCAAGTTATTCATTATGCTGCTTCACTGCAGGATCAAAACAAGATGTTCAGAGGCATAATGGTCAAACGAAGACATACAGGTCTTCATTTGAATGGTAATGTTACAGACCACAAGATGATATTCCGGCATGTCTCGACTACATATAAACTAAAATACAAACACACAAAATGTATGCAAAATAGATTTCCTTTCAAAAGCAATGTCTTACCTTGCATGAAGAAGGAGCTAGGAAAAGTGCTGGCTGCTGGTTTTGAGGATGGATAACCTGGTGAATCCCTATTGTAGTCGGCAGTGCTTGCTGACGGGGCATAAACCTAAGGAAAAAAGACTAATTTAGTATGCCTTTAGCAGGAAGCAGGAAAGAAATATTGAGTTTTTACCTTGCTCAGTATAAATCCGTTCACAACACCACATAATTCTTCTCTCAGAACACAAAAACCTCAGTATATGTGTGACTGGAAAATAAATTTTAAGCTTCAAAAGAAACTCCAGCCTGACATTTTCCAGCTTTAAACAAGGATATTTGCAAGGTATTTGTCAAACTATGTATTTCTGTAAATAAAATGAACAAACAGATGTACATATGTTCTTCCTAGAGCATTACGGAGCTTAAAATAAACAAGAACTTGAAACAATGCTGATTTTCTCATATGAAGGCGTACAGACTTTACCCACTTAAGAACAGAACTGAAAGCACTGCAAGGAAGTAAAAAAACTATCTCCCAAACTAAAAAAAAAAAAAAAAAAAAAAAGGAAAGAAATTTAGAAAAACAGCATTATCAAGAACACTGAAAATTACAAACATATCTTGGGATATTAAATTCCCATGGATCGAGCTCTTTCCAGAGAAGCTTTAAAGGACTATTAAAAACCTGGATCTACACAAGACCACCAACACAGCATGTGTACACATCAGGGGAAAAACTCCTCCTTTCTTAAGACTTATTGTATTTGTCTATGCAATAAACTTAGTACGTGTGCCAAAAGACTCATTTACTTTTATTTGCTTACTAATACACCAGAGCCTTCTGCAACTTGCCTTTTAGAAAATATCTGCTGTATTTCTTGCTTTAGTTTAGTTCAACCAGGACAGCATTTAAAAACAAAATAGAAGCAAAAAAATCCCCCCAAACCAGTCAGGGCTGATAAGCGTAATTTATTATTTAGAGCGCGATTTATTCTCTCTGCCTATACGCTCCCTCAATTCCTCCGCGCTTTGTTTCTGCGCTGGAGGTGCCTCTCTCCAGATGGTCAGGAAGACTGAAGCACTGTCATCTCCTTGATGAAAATGGATACCTTCCTGCCTCCATTTTGAAGCAGGCAGCAGATCACAAAATTGGCAGAGCGCCTGCTCCGACGTTTGCAGGTCACAGCGAAAGGGAAGAGAAATCCACCAGCGAAGCACGGCCGCCGCCGGGGCTGGGAAGAGCGCCCAGCCAGGGCAGGGGGAGCAAAGGGCTCCTCTCATTAAAAAAAACCCAAAACCCCACCCGAACCCAAAAACCAGGGAGCAAAAGGCTGAGGGGCTGCAGGATGCAGAGTAACGGGCTCCCAGAGCCCCAGCAAGGAGCGGGACGGCGGGACGGGACGGGGCAGCCCGGCATCGCATCCCCGGGCGGCAGAGCAGCTCCCCTGGCTTCGTGAGCCCCAGCGTCGCCCGCGCAGACGGGGCCAGCAGCAGCTCAGCGCCTGGGACAAGCCCGACGTTACAAACCGAAGCAAAAGTCCTTTTTATGATACGGTGCCTCACGCCCCATTCGAGATCGATGCGGGTTCGGGGTCCTCGGCATTGGGCGCTCGGGAGAAGGAGACGTGTCCCACCGCCCGTAGGGTGGCAGCAGCTGGGAGCGAGCCCCAGGAAAGCCTGAAGACTATTTGGATGGGTAAAAGAAGAGGCAACGCAGCTCTGCGCCCAACTGGCCAAACCAACCCGCAGCAAAGCCATCGGCCAGTGCCGCTGAGTGGGACACTCCGGGTGGGACGCAGCCACCGCCAACCGCCGTGATACCGGCATCACGGGAGTCGACTTCCTACTCATGTGTCAGCATTTAACTGCATTAAAGGTACAAATAAATAACAAGTACTAGCCAAAACCCCGCTGCCTGCCTGCACGGGGGCAGGCAGGGCTGGCCCAGGCTGGGCAGGAGCACCCAGCTCTTGGGCATGCTGTGCTGTGCCGTGATTCCGGAGCAGGGCTGCAATTCCGGAGTAGGGCTGCCAAGTGCTCTCGCCACACACCACCATCCCAGGCTCTGCCGTGATGGTGAGGGACTGGGGCATCCCGCCACCCCAGGATTGGTCCCCGCAGCCATCGGTTGGGGCAGGCACCAGCTGTGACAGCCCCAAGTGTCACCTCTAATATCAGCACCTTCAGCATGGCTGTTTTCAGATGAGCTCTTCCTTTGGGATGGTGAGTGATGCAGAAAGCAAGCTGGCATGGGACGCTAGTGATGGTTTCAACCTGGGGCCGGGGGAAAGTTCCTCTTGACCTCAGCTCTTGCAAAGACGGGTGCTGTGATTCAGCTAAGGGAGGGGAGGTCGGGAACACAGGAAAGAGGCTTTTTGAAAAACCTGAGAGATGGGATGAAGGAGAGCTGTGGGAGGCATCAGTCAGCTCAAATCTCCGCTCTCTGGTCAGCGGGAGGGTAAGGAGATGCCTCCCCAAACACCCCTTCCCAACCCTGCCCTCTCCCACTGCTGCTCCTGCACCAGCTTCGAAAATGCTTCGTACAAGTCCTGCAGTTACCAGAGAACAACCCTACAGAAACTGCAGAGGTTTTCAGAAGAGATACCTGAATGTCAGATTTAATGCTGAAAGATTAAAGATGGACAGGTAGGGGTAAAAAAAAAGGTGCTTGAATATACCCAGTGCCCAGAGAGGAAGGGAGCACAGAGGTTGGAAAGCAGCAAGGACATCAAAGGCAGCGTGCTGGCTATGCCGGCGCTTTAATAAAACATGCGTCGGGCACTTCTTGCACTTCCAAACAAAGCAGCGTGCATGCGGATCGCAGAGCAGCTGCACTGCTCTGACACGTCTTGCAGGGGTGTAACGGGTGCCTCTGAAGAACAGCTTCGCTGTGCCACGGTATTTAACGTACAGGAATTTCTCTATTCTGCTATATCACGATATATTTAACAGCGCGGGGGCTTTCACTTGGTGCATGCCACTGCCTGGCACGGGGTTTTCTCCCTGGGCTGCACCCACAGAGTGGGGAGGGTCTCCTGGGAAGGGCGGTGCCCACCCCACCCTGCCCCACCCTGCCCCGCCCCTCCAGCACCACCTATTCCCGCCCTGGCCGGATACAGGATGCCCGTGCCACCGACTTGTGAGAGCAATCGCCCCTCTACCCAGAGGTGACCACGTCTTGCTCTCGCCTAAGTAGATCCCTGTTGTCCCCTACTTGTTGCGCTCGAGGTCACCAGGCTTGCGTAAAAGTTGGGTGTGCGTTTCTGAGGAAAAACAGTCAAAACTAGGTGTTTGTAACTCGTACGGCGAAAAGGTCCGACACCGTTACAGTTCTCTTCCCTCGCACTCATTTGACAGGTATCCCACCAAGCGCCCCGGCTGCCGGGGAGGTTTCCCAAGGGATTGGTGAACACCCAGTGGGTGACCTCATCGGTGAGGCAAGGCTTCCAGCGCATCCCACCTACCACGTGGGAAGAGCGGCTACCTGGGAAAAAATGAGATGGGCCCTGGCCTGGGAAGTGATGAAGAAAACCCCTCCTGTGTGCCCTCTGATCACTCCCGCTATTTTAGGAGTGACCGGTACCTCTCCCTCCCTGCCCCACCACAGGGACGGTCCCTCCTCGCCCACCTCTCCCCGCGCAGCCCTGCCCTCTTGCTCACAACGATATACGTTGGTCTCAACCTGAACGCCTGGTCTTTCCCATATTCCTGCAGCCATCCAGCCTAACTGCTTTCAGACATGACTCCAGCTCAACAAAAATTAGGTCCGGAAAGGGCCCCCTCCTGCCGACGGAAATTTGGCTTTGCACCTCGGCTTTCTGCAGTACCTGCAGCGCATGAGTTATAAAGGTCTAACGGCTCCCCGTACGCGCTGTAAAGAAAACGAGTATGTATTTTACGCCTCTTGCTGACTTATTCCCCAATTTATGAGTTTGCTTCGCTTCGTTGCTTGTTGTCAAACTGAACCGTAAAGCTGCGAGGTCAGAGTCTCCCAAGGCGGGTGCCTGAGCTGCAAAACTGCCCCCACGCCAGCGCTGCCCGCCACGCCGAGGGGGCTCGGTAGGAACACGCTTCAGAAATCACCCAAATATGCAGAGCCAGCACTTGAAAGGAATTTACAGAAAACGGTGTCGGCGGCTGAAGCCGTGGCGCTGGCTGGGGATGCCCGTGCAGCGGCAGGGCGCTGCCGTGGGGTCTCGCCTGCCTGCAGCCGCACTTCGCCCGCCCTGGTAGCAAAAGGAGACGCGCCAGGACAAGGCGGCGATTCAACCTGGGTCAGACGCCTTCGGGGATTTTGCTTTACTGTTGTCAGCAGTCGTATGAAGACACTGAATGACGGCTTTGGCACGTTCTGGGCGCGCGGGTCAGCCTGGAGGCTGGGAAGGGAAGGAAAGCGTCAGGAGGAGCAGGGGAAGGCGGACGGAGGCTGGCGGTCGTGAAATGACAGGAAAAATAGCCAAAATAAATGCCAGCTTACAAAGTGTCATGTAACTGGGTGTAACTCTTCCTCGCTAAAGACAGAGTTGATTTATTCTTCTGTTGGTTTTACAGCTGAATTTTCACACAGTGAAAGCCACTGGGCTGAAGCAAATTAACTCGTTTTGCTGTGACAGGCTCAGTCACAGGAAGAATTTGAGGAGCTATAAGGTAGCTTTTTTAGAAAATTGTGTATTTCCTAAAGAAGCGTCACTCTTTCAACATAAATATTCATTATTTTCAAATTTTTATCACAGTGGGATTCTCATGTTATCACGACATTAGCTAAGAGCACACATGGAAATTCCTCTCATGTTAAAATGTGCAGAAGTCTCCAGATTTGTTTCCCTCTGTATCATCGGGACTGCAGTACTTTCAACAGGCAGTAAAGAGAGCGTAGGAGATGATTAACTAGATGAACAATATTCTGACTGGCCCCTGTCTTTTTGTCATTCTTCCACAAAGCAATGTTTAAAATAGCAAGCAGTGTATTATTTAATCACGTTGATAATCTGTCCAAAAACGTTTGCCAGATAATTTTACAAAGATGGAATTGCGCCGATAACCCCATTTAAACAGAGACATCAATTATCATGAGTAAGTGTTGGTAAAGAAAACAACCCAATAACTTGATCCAGAATAGTGAAAGTA